ACAAGACTGAATATAATGAAACTAGTATAGAAGGGTTGGTACCACACTTTCTTCCCTAAGATTGATTCTGTAATCGATTTTTTTACTATGTTTTACGTATTTAAGCTTGGACAAAAATCCAAATTAATTTTCTGTGCAGGTTACAACCTAGGATGAAGGATGCCTTTATAGAACTGATTAAAGGTTTGCTACTGGTACCTGCTGCCGATCTAGTTCCTTCTTGTTTTGAGAGAGATTGCCAACATTGTCAAAGAAGGAGGTGACGTTAGGCCCTTTTAACTCTTAACTCACTATCAGGTTTGTAATTGCTTACTTTCTTTGTGCTTTTTCTTTTCAGATGACTAATGTTTACCTTTTCCTTTCCCCTTTCTTATTCCTGTGGTTGATTGCATTCCTGGTAGCCTTATACATATCTGCTACCATATATAGAAGTCTCCAATTTAGTAGGTTTTTATTATTCATCTTCAAAATGAAGGCACCATCAATTTCTGTTTTTTCCTAAGTCCTGACTTAATTTAATTTCTTTTTACCAAGAAGGATGCCATTTCAAAAGCTTTGTCAACAAAGGTTGTATTTTTGCTGCATAGACCTCCTGGACCAGGGAAAAGTGCAGCTGTAGTGGAAATTATTATTTTACAAGAAGACAAGCATGGCTTAAAGATTCTTGCTTGTGCTTCTTCTGATACTGCCCTTTTTTTTTTTTTTGGGTACGGCTTCTGATATTGCTGTTGATAACATTGTTGTGTGACTTGTTCCCCTCTGGTAAAGTATGAATTAATGTGCAAGAAGATATACCTGCAACTAACCTTAGTGCTAACCTATTAAAGGGAGAATTTTTTGTAATTAATTGTGCTTTATATTATTTATAAAGGGTCTCATAGTTCTGGTTCGGAGACAACCTGAATGCTAAAGGAAAATGTTCTTTGAGCATATAAGAACCACCAAAAATTGAACTATATATTATCTGGTTCTGTTCGAGCTAATAGATTTCAGCAGTTTTCTTTTTTTCAAAACTTTGTGCTATATGGTGTTTGTTTGGTTGAGTTTCACTAGTAAGTTCATTTTTCTGAGTCCATAAAGGCCGGAATGAGTTTTCATCAAGTACTGGCCTGGGTAGTGCCATAGCTAATAGGAATTAAAACCATGTGGCTCAATCCATCTTTTGCTGGAATGTGAAATTTGTTTACTTATCTTTCAACTACAGAAGAACTCTTCAGCATTTTGACTATGGATGACTTTGATTTTCTATCCTTTCTTGTGGAACTGTAGATATTCAGATAAATGGTATTAGAAAGACATTTATGAGCTAAACTGTCATTTCATGCACTAGTTATTTTCTTCTTGGCTTACTAGTTTGGTTTCCTCTTGTACATAAGGGTACATTATAGTTATTATTATTTTTAAAATTTTTTTATCATTAGAGTGCAGGAGGTGAGGTTGGAGTATCCTGCACGTTTCCTATCCTTAAGTTTTGGTCAGTGCATTTGATGCATAGGTAAACTGTATCATTTGGAAAGAAGAAAATTTGAACAATAGGTTTTTTATCTTAATGATAGTCTTCAGGCACAGTTGTTCATCCCCATAATGTGCTTCATTTTGTTATTAAATTTGGCCTTCTTAAAGGTCTCTCATAGTCCCATACAACATGGTAACATCTTGGTCTTGGTCCATTTATTTCCAGCAGCAAACTGTTCTGTCTAGAATTCCATTTTTTTGGGTAAAGCACCACATTTAAATTCATTCTGGGCATCTTGAAGAAGCTTTCAAGTCATTAAATCACCACTTTTTAACTTCCATCTGCAGTATCACCAATACAGAAATCCTTGGAAGTTGAACCCTCTTCTGGACTTAATTCGCTTTTTCAGCACTGGAACTGCAAATCATATAACCTCATTTTCTATGTATTCAATGAT